ATTATTATTATTATTATTATTATTATTATTATTATTATTATTATTATTATTATTATTATTTTATTATTGTTATTATTAATTATTATTATCGTTACTGTCTTTTAGTTTTATTCCATTTTTTATTTTTACTTTCCTTTAATTATAACTTTTCTTTTTACTTTGATTTCAATTTTCTTGTTATTTGCTATGATTTTAATCAATACTATGTTTTTTTGGAATATTTTTGCTGCTAAGTTGATGAGTTTTAGTAGAGATTGTTTTATGAATGAATTGTCGAAATATGAAATAGATTTTATTATATCTGATTACCGCTCAGCTAGAATATTAAAGTTGATTTAGGTTGATTAATTCATGTTATTGATTTAAATGTCGTCTCCAACTTTTTTTTTGTTCATTTATTTGCAAATTTTTATGCGTTTGATTTATGAAAGACAGTATCTTATTGGAACTTGATTGTGTATTTATTTTTTTGTTAATAGGTATTCCGTTCGCTGACTATATGTTAATTTGGGGACAAATGAGTTGATGAGTCACGGTTGCTGCAGTAGTCTAATAATTTCTATTTCTTATTGAGATAAATATTTAGTTTGATGAATTTAAGGAAGCTTTAGTGCTTGTGAAAATACTTTAAAGTCTTTTATTCTACCCATTTTATTTACTCTGATTTTTAACTGTTTCAGTTATTATTCATTTATTTCTCTTATATTTTGCTTGTTTGAAGTCTAGATCACATCACCGTAGCGATTATGGTAAGAATCACCTTTCCCTGAATTTTGACTAAACGATAGATTCAATATTACTTTTGTTTTATCTTAATTTTGTTTAATTTATATTTCCGATTTAATTGGAATGACCTAACGATTTCTGTAATCCATCCTGCTTATATTGTAACTAAATGGTATTTGGTATTTTTTATTTACCTTTAATACTTTACGTTCTCTTCCAGTAAACTGTTTATTTTGATGTTTAGTTTTGCGTTTGTTTTGGTAGTTTTTGTTTGACCAAATAAATACCAAACTACTTTGAATAATATTTTGCATTTTTGTTTTATTTGAATTTTTTTTTTTGATTAACTTGAGCAGATTTATTGATCAACCTATTGATTATCTTTTCAATCATTTTAATCTTTTATTTTATGTACTCCATTTTATTTTTATGTAATTTTTTATTTAGTCGAGCAAATAAAACACTGTATGTTTGGTCAAAGTTTTCATTGTTTTAAGTTTTTTGGATATATTTTTAATATAATAAGTGCAGTAATTTCAGGTTTTGGTACTTTGTAAAACATAATTTTTTTTTCTTATTTCATAAGTATTATAAAATAGAGTTTAATTATTATCCTTTGGTGTTTGGTTTTGTTTGAAAATATGGGCATATTTTTATTTCTGTTTTGCATCTTCTTTATGAATAAATAATGTAGTTTTGATAGATATTATAGGTCGTTATTTTGTGTACAATAATAATTATTTTGTTATAAATAATAGTATTCAGGGTAATGTTCTTAATATAAGTATTGACTTACATGTTCTTGTTGGGGTTTATTGTTTTATTATTGATTTTTTTTCGTGTTAAGTTATTCAATTTTAATCGGCATCCTACTCAACTCTATGATAATCTATTGATTAATGGCGATTTTAGAGTTCATATTCTGTTTATTATATGTTTGAAATTGTTAATTTTATGTTGTAAAATATTTATTCTGTTTTATTTTTTCTTTATACTTATTTTGCAAAATCAATTTCGCCTTTTTTGAATTTTTAAGCCCTATCTAAAAATTTGGAGTATACAATTGCATTAAATTATTTCGAATATGAATAAATAAATACCAAGATAAATTGAATTCCTGAAGTGTTGTATAAAATTATTGCATAATACTTTATAGGAATTGAATTTAATTAGAAACAAAAGATCTTTCTGTATCCTTTAAAAGGATTACCTATAATAAGTTACTTGCAATAATAATTAGTAATATAAGTAAATTATTAATATTTATGCAGTTCCTGGCTTTCTAGTGCAATAAATATATTTGTTTTAAGGTAGTTGGTTTTACGCCAAAAAATTTTACGCATATTTTTGTATAACTAACTATTGATTAGTAAGCTAAAAATTTTTTCAGAAATGCGTAAGAAGTTTGTGTGATTTCGTTTGTTGTGAGTTTGTGTGATTTTTAAAAAAGTTTGTGTGATTTCGAGGTTGTTTTCATGTTTAAAAAAGGAATTATTTGAAATTTAGAATTTTCGATTCTTAATCGAAAGGTTTATTCTTGAAGTATTTTTATTGTTTGTGTTTAAATACGACCGTCTAATTTTCGTTTTACTAACTATTGAGTTTTTGTTTTTTTCTTTGCTTACTTATTGTGTTTTCTTTTTTTTAAATCTATTTTGCTCTTCTATTTTGTGTGTTTTGAAGTTTCATCTGGTGTTGTTGATTCACTTTTTTTCTATTAATGTTGGAAGTTTTGGTATGGATAAGGTTATGTTTTGGTTTTATGACGACTAAGTTGATTTTACTTTTGGTTATATGAAAATAATATCTCTTACTCTTAGTTTATTTAGTGTATTTTAATTAGTGTTCTATAAAAATCGCCTATACATTTCAATATTTAATTCTATTTGCTTTGGCATCTTTTTTTTGTGTTATTTTTGTAACAATTTCCTAATTTTTTTATTAAAAAGCATTTAAAATTTGTTTTGTAACTGGATTGGTACTAAGTAATCTAGATTTATTAACCTAAGGATGAAGTTATATTTCACCTAAAAAGTATTACTGACTTTAGGTTGCCTTGGTTTATTTGGAGAGCCCTGTTTTTAAATGAATTTTGTTGATTGTTTAGTTTTTATGCTAATTTGTAATTTTGTAATATTTTAGCATTAAAAACATATATTTAAATGTATTATCATTTGTATATATTATTAATATTTTGGATTTT